AAGTGCTCTTAACTGCTGAGTTATCTCTCCAAACAGTTTTTTATTCCAGGAAGTGGTGTGTTGCTGCAACAAATATCTTAAGACATAGAGGTGGCCGATGAACTGGGTAATGGGTAGTGGCTGGAAAATTTGGGGATGCATATTAGGGGTCTGAATTGTCTTGAGACTGTCATTAGAAGCGTGAACCCTAAAGGTAATTCAGGGTGGATCTCAGGTAGAAAAGAGGGTTATGATACCAGACATCGGGGGACAAATGAGCTTTGTTCTAAAGTGGCACAGACCTTGGCTTAATCCTGGCCTCCTGTTGGTGTCTGTGTGTGAGCGTACAAAGAATTGCCGACTCTGCTGTTCTGACAATAGAAGTGTGGCCATGCCATTCCCTATTGGTAGAAAAGCGATAAGTCTTTTTTGTTCCTGGGTTGCTGGGATTAAAGGTCTACACCGGCACACCCAGCTGGTGGAGAACTTTAGGTTGCCCACCCAGAGTGGTTGTCTACTGAAGGATTTTCTTCATCTTCATTCTGTAGAAGGTTGAGTCAAAATGACTTTCGCCTGTTAGCAGTGAAATAGTGCTCTTTGCAGGTGAGGCCCTCCGTGTGGTCCAAATGGATTTTCTTGTGGTTTGTGTGGCCGCTGGGCAGGATAAAAGTACTTTGATCATAAGTAACCTAATTGGGTTTCTTTTACTTTATGAACCCTGTAAGCAGTGATGGGCTTCCAGGTATAAAGTATTACTGTGAACATTACCAGGGTAGCTTTGAAATGAGTCAACATAAAAACACCAAGTTTGTGGAATACTGCATTCTTGAGTATTCCCATTTGCTATGTCCATGTTTGTATAATGAAGCAATTATTTCCTATGCTTTATTTCTTCTTTCTGCTCTCCTTTGGCCGTTACATTTGGGAAGGAGGATTAAGATCCTAGTTTGGTGACCCTTCTGATTAGAGATGAGGGAGTGTTTATCTGCAGGAGGCCAGGCTATCATGAACACTCTGACTATTGAATGATGACCATTTCAGGGCCCTTAGTTCTCTTCAGGTCTCCTGCCTTCCATTTCAGGGTTTGTTTTCCTGCAGAAACATCCTCTCAGGTGTTTCCAGTCACAGCCGTGTTTTACATCAGTATCATTATCTTGCCGAAGCCTAGATTGCCATGTGCTTTTAGCAGCTTAGAGTTTTCAGGCTAACAGGAGAAGCTTCTCGGAACTTTCCTCACTGGGACAACAAAAGAATATTGAGTCTTCCCACACGGAAGCCTGCAAACACTTTCAATTCTAGTTCTGGCCCCCAAACTCTCATCGGTCCTAGGCATTAGTTGACTTAGTAGCAGAATTCACTCATTAAATAACTTTAATCAGCTGGCATCTATGGATCTCCAGAATTTTACAGAGGTGGCAGACTTGAGGCTTCAGGCTACACTTGTAATCTCTAGATTTTAATATAAATGATCATTATCTTGCTTTTGCAATGAAGCTTATGATATTTAAAGGCCGAAGGAGATCTTGAAAGGCTGATTTAGTCCATCCTTTTAGGAAACTTTTGCAGTTTTATTTAGATGACAAGTACTGATTAATGTGAAACTGGTCAGGTGAATGGTTGATGGGAAATTGCAGATTTACAGAGGATCAAGTTCATACTAAAACAATGTCCTAGATAGAAATGGGGACTTATCTACACTGTGAGTGTGTTAGGCCTATCCTTCAATCCTTCTACAGTCATCTTGTTATCTGTGCTGGGGTTTCTGTTTGTCTGTCAACCGATGTGATATGACACTCTCCCTGGACTGTGGATGGCACATTGTAGCCAAACACATTTGACTGTGATAACATTGTCCAGGGACTGTGGATGGCACATTGTAGCCAAGACATATTTGACTGGGCATTTAGGTAACATTGGAAATTAAAAATAAATCTATAAGTAATTTAAGAAAAACAGAAGCCAGGACGTTGGTGCCTCACGCCTTTAATCCCAGTTCTCAGGAGGCAGAGGCAGGCGAATCTCTGTGAGTTCGAGGCCAGCCTGGTCTACAGAGCTAGTTCCATGGCAGGCTCCAAAACAATACAGAGAAACCCTGTCTCGAAAAACAAACACACACACACACAAACAAACAAACCAGAAGGAGCCAGACAGAAGAAGGATTTTCTGTGTGCTCCTGGCCTTGTCTGTTGGTACACTACAAAGAGCTTGTGCTTGCTTCCAGTGATGTAGGATGTGGAGCAGAAAGCATTGGGGAAGGAATTTGTTTTGGAGGGGTAGGGCTAGAAGTAGTCTGTGTGGCCTGGAGGTGGTAGCACCTGCCTGTGACTCGGGAAGCTGAAGCATGAACTGTGAGCACAGTACTCAGGAGGCTGAAGCATGAAGCATCCGAATCTGAGGAGAAGCTGGGCTGCACGGTAAGGTTCTCTCAGAAACAGAACCTAACCAACCCTTCCAATTGTGTGTGTGTCATAGAAAAATGTGTTGAAATGGAGAGGTAGGTCATGCTTTCTTAATAAAAATGGTTGCCAGAAATAAAATGCATAAGTGTAACAGAAGAAAGAACCAGGAATATGTGTATATATTAGGGTACTCTCTCAGTGATGAGAAGTAGTTTTCCTTTCCCAGGTGGTACTTGGAACTTTGAATGTAGGGCCTTGTGCGTAACACACCAATAGCTCAAAAGTGAATTTTACAATTTATCTTAGTTTTTGTCTTCATCATTTTCTATAAGGCAAATGTCCTGTCTCTGTTTAGTAAAGTGTTTTTAAAAAATATTTTAATTAGAGAATTTTACATAATGCATTTTGATCATATTCACGCCTTGCCTTGATTTTGACCTTGACTCCTTCCAGATCCTCCCCCACACTGTTCTCTTCCTTTACTTTTTAATAATTCACTGAGTACAATTTGTGCTGACCATATACTCCTGATAGTGGGCTATCTAGTGGAGCATGGCGGGCCTACCAGAGCCACACTAAAAGAAAACTGACTCTTTACTCCTATGAAGCCATTACCTACCCATAGATCTTACCCTGTAGCCTAGCCTGCCTCTAATTCATGGTGATGTTGGAATTATAAATATGTGCTACACAACTAGCTAATTGGAGTTTTTAAGTTCATATTTAACTGCAGTGTATAAATGATTGGTTTGAATACATTTCACTTTCTTGACAAGGATATTATAATCTTTTGAACTCTCTTTTGAACTCTCATTTGAACTATATTTAGATTCTACATGCATTTCTCCTTTAAGAAATGGAAAAGTTTGAAATATACAACACATAGGCTAACTGTATAACAAATTTCCATTACTACCCTAGCTCAGCAATAGTCATGTAAGTAGTTTATTTCTGGCTACCATTCCTCTCCATACACTATTTGAACTAGCTCCCAAATGCCTTATTTTTTGTCATATGGTTGAATATTTGCACTTAATGCATTAGAACACTAAGAATTCATAGTACTGGTATGAATCAAACAGTAAATAGTATTACTAGTCCTTCTTAGTATGGTCAAATGTGCCGTCATTGTTTGCACTCCTCGTTGTTCTCATGATGACTGTTTCCCTGGTTAGATTATTTGAGAGTATAGATAAGTCCCCAATCTCACACCCTGAATCAGTGGAGTGTGTATGATGTACTGGGGATGGAACCTGGGACCTTCTGCTCCTGACAGCCACCCAGCTCATCAGCCAGGACCTTCTGCCACTGACACCCATCCCAGCCTCTCAGCTGGTTCTTCTGTCACTGGCACCTACCCCAGTCTATCTCTATCCTGCTGCCATTTTTTTCTTTTGCAATTTCTTTATTTCCTACAAAAAATGTGTATTGATGTTTTGCCTGCATCTATGTCTGGGTACCATATGCATGTAGTACCTGCAGAGTCTGGAAGAGGGTATTGGATCACTTGGAACTGGAGTTACAGATGATTATGAGCTATTATGTGGGTGCTGGGAATTAAACCCAAGTCTCTGGAAAAGCAGACAGTGCTCTTAGCCATTGAGTCATTTCTTCAAACCCATTACATTTATTATTATTATTATTATTATTATTTGTGTGTGAGAGAGAAACAGGGAGAGAGAGAGAAAAAGGGAGAGGGAGGGAGAAAGAGAGGGAAAGATGGAGGGAGGGAGGGGAAGGAGAGTGTGGCACATATGTTGTGGTCAGGGTTGATTCTTTCCTTCCACTGTGGGTTTTAGGATTGAACTCAGGTCACCAGGTTTGAGTGGTAAAAACTTTTACCCACTAATCCTTCTTGATGGATTGCATTTTATTTCTTAATACAATCTAGTCATCATTTTTAAATCTACTGTAGGATTTATTACAATCTACTCTTCTCTTCATGCTTTCTTTTAATGCCCAAGACTAGAAATGCTTAAGAATGCATCCTAGTTAGTTCCCATTAAAACATGTTTGTGAGGTGTGTTTGTAAACATCTGTAAATTTCCAGGGAGAGCTGAGTTTCATTCTTAAGTAATTAAATTATTTATTATAGTGTGTGTGCGTGTGTGTGTGTGTGTGTGTGTGTGTGTGTGTTGTGTGTGTGTGTGTGAGAGAGATGTGCACCATGTGTGCCATAGTATACATGCAGAAGTCAGGGGACCACTTTATTGAGTTAATCTCTCCTTTCAACTTGCTGTGGGTTTCAGGGATGGAACTCAGGTCCATCAGGCTTGTCCATCAAGTGTCATTCTTCTTTGAGTCATCTTGCCAGTCTCTGGTCCTAAAGTCTTAATCCTGTAGCCTCGGTTATTTCAAGTAGATGAAACAGCCATGAAACGTGGGGGTAGGTTCAGGCAGAATGTACCTATTTCCTTACATATGCACTAGAAAGTTCTCCGGAGACAATGCTCTGATACAGTGAGGTTATTTGGAAATATTGCTTAGGATCCCAGCCTCGTTTACAAATTCAGTTTTTAGAGTCATACCTATGCCCCATTATTTTCCTTCTTTTACTGTGAAGACTCCCAAGGTCAGGGTGCCACTGCCTGGCTACTATTGATTTGTCTTTAATGATTGCAGGTGGAAGACGACAGTGATTCAGAGACCCATGGAGAAGAGAATGATGAGCAGCACGGACACTTTTCTAGAAGAAAGATTGTCTCTAACTGGGATCGATATCAAGATACTGAAAAAGAAGTCAATGATGAAAGTGGAGAATCGCAGCGGGGGACGGACTTCAGCGTCCTCCTGAGCTCTGCAGGTATGGGTTCCAGTTGTGTGCTTGCTGTTTAGTGCTGGGAAGACTGCATAGACATTTGCTACTTCTGAAATTGTGTTAAAAATGTGATAGTGTATGCGGATCAAATGTATGTGTGCACTTGTGCCATGCTATGCCTGCGGAGGGCAGGAAATGATTTTCTCATCCTACCATGTGGATGTTGGGATAGAACCTAGTTGTCTGGCTTGGCAGCAAGCACCTTTACACACTGATTTCTCTTTCTGGCCCATGTCTATAATTTTGAGTGCCTACACTAGACAAAGAATAATTATTGATGAACGTATTCTGAATAGGAAAATTTTCGAGGGTATCAAATTGTGAGCCAGAAACACAAGATTTAGTCTTGTGCTGTGGGCTGATATTGCCATAGCAAATGCATTCCACCCTGACTAGTCAACAACACAGACTCTAAGTAATTGTATTGGTCAGCTAAGTGCTTCCATCTTTGGGCAAATATAATTTATGACTTAGGAACCTTATTCAAGGTAGGAGGAAGGAAACAGGTAAATTGTGGCTGGAAATATTGGGAAAAAAGATCTGGGAGGAAAAAGTTGAAAGAAACAGGTAAAATGTGGCTGGCTAGTTAATTCTTATCAGCTATTTGACTAAAATATCTAGGAGGAGAAAATTGAAATAATGCAATTAAATTAACTTATTCTGCATGTGGGTGTAATGCAATCAGTTGTGTAGTTAATTATTTGAAGAGTATCTGGCAATAAGAGATATAGCATAAATGTTTGAATTCAATCAAAATTCTAGCCTTGCCCAGCAGGCATGTTTATTGGCTTATGATTTTGGGTGTTTCTTTTAGCATTTTATTTACATAATTTAAAACAAGGCACATGGTTGACTCTTCTTTTATTTTTGTGGTAGTCTGCTTACTGATTTCTTTGATATTTGATTATCTCTGTTTTGGGAGGTTGCAGTTGACATGTCTTTGCTGTGTTCTGCTCTACTCTGCTGCTGATATTTTGATCACTCACTGTAGCATGATTAAGAAGTGCTGCTCTGTCTTCTCATGTATGTTGCAGAACAGCTGTGTTGGTCTGCCACAGTGTTACACTCCATCCTCTGGTCAGAAAATTTGAAGAGTATCTTCCGATACACATTTCTTGCTCCCTACAGCGATTCTGATTTTTTGTACTGTTCATATTTATATATATATATGAACTGTATATATATATATATAAATCATGGCACTTGCTTGGGGTAGGAATCAGTGGGCAAGGGCTATTGCAGTTTTACAGAGAGACCAGAGAAGTTCTTACTGAGAAGATAACACTGACTAAAGTCCTGAGGAAGGTGAGGGAAGAAGCTGACAGAGAGCAAGCTCCAAAGGCTTTGAGAGAGGAATGCTAATGGATGATCTATAAGTAGGATTTCTGTGTATAACAGTTACCTTTGAGGACTAGTAGTTAAGGAGGAACTTTCTGTTGACCCCATTTGGTGTTTGCTTATGGTGATAGATCCACTCTGGAGGGTTGTTTGCTGTTTCCCAGTGAAGTTAAGAATCCATCAGTTCTACCCGTGATGAATCTCTCGAGAAATCTGATATATGGGCATGAATGTTCATAGATGCATTGCTCAGGAGACTCTCAAGTGGAAGTAGCTCACATGTAGTGAAAAGAATGCAGAGATATGAGTCTCTCAGGCATCATGTTGAGCAAAAGAAACATCATATACCTGTAGGAGATCACTGTGGTTCTGTTTAAACATGGAGCCCAAGTGTGCTGGTGTTCACCTGTGATCCAGTGTCTGGAAGGCTGATGTAGGAGGTCACCTCAGTAGGCTACATACTGAGACTGTATCTCAAAAGATCAGATACAAAAAAAAGTTAACTGTGTTATTTAGGAGGGTGAAGAGGGGTAATGGTTAGGTAGAGGCCAACAGCAGGTGTATAGGTGTGAGCATTTCTGTGACATTGGTAGTACCCTGTTTGCCTGGATGATGGCTACCTTGGCTTAATAATTTCTTTACATTGTTCATATGTATTCTCTATTTTTTTTGCTGGGGTGCAGTTTGAGGCAGAGTTCCTCTGTGTAACAGGCCTAGCTGTCTTAGAACTCACTTTGTAGGATAGGCTGGCCTTGAACTCACAGACATCTGTTTGCCTCTGCATCTGGAGATTAAAGGCATGCTGGGGTTAAAACCACCATGCCCTGCTGTATTCTCCATTTTTTTTAATTTTACAAGTCTCCCTATAAAAGACACTCCTTTGTAGAAAGACATCAACTTGTACAGACAGGCACTGCCTGCCTTGAGTCTCTCTAGCCATGGCTGGCAGCATCTACATCTTTATTTCCAGAGGACATGGGGAGGCACTAGCTTTGTTCTAAATCATACTCATTCTGGTGGGACTGGGAGTTTGCAGCTGTCTGCTCTTTCTGTAAGCTTCTGAACCAGATAACTAGGCCACTAGCTTTTGTTTCTAAATAATGTTCTTCTAATACTAAGGTATGTTTTAAGAATTTGGTAATGGGGGCTGGAGAGATGGCTCAGTGGTTAAGAGCACTTACAGAGGACAAGGGTTCAGTTCCTAAAACCCACGTGGTTGTTCACAACCATCTGTAACTCCATTTCTGGGTGAGCCAGTGCATTCTTCCAGTCTCTGCAGGAACCAGTCCATGCATGTGGTCCACACACATATGTGTGGGCCAAACATTCAGACACATAAAATAAGTAAATGTAAAATTTGGAAGTAGGCTGGTTATGGTTGGTGCATGCCTTTAATCCCAGCACTCCAGAGGTAGAGGTAGGAGGACCTCTGTGTGTTTGAGGACAATCTGGTGAGTTCCAGGACAGCCAGGACTACATAGAGGGATCCTGCCTCAAAATACAAAACAAACAGCAATACAACAAAAACAACAACAGCAGTCGTTTAGAAGTGGTAGCCTGTCCTCATTTACTGTCTTCAAGGTATAAATAGTCCTCAAGCAGCTTTTTCTTTCTTGTTATCTCCCACCCCAAAGTCAGTCACTGAGTTCATGTCACGTGCATGGTCTTTTCCTTTCAAGATGCCACCGATTACTAGAGATCCAAAGTGTTCACATTGTGAGCAGAGTACCAGGATAAGACTGAAGATAAACGTGGAAGAAAAAGTTAGGTATGAGTGTATCAGGTCTGTTTAATTTTTAGTGAAAATATGAAAATGACATGATTAGATAAATTTGGGAGAGAGAGGATTAAAAAAGCCAAGTGTGCTTTTGGCAAAGTCTCTAGTAAAGATTGGTGTAGAATAATCTTTATGAAGAGTACCAAATGAATGAATTCAAAGGTTATGGAAAGGCAGTTAACCTCAACAGTGAAGAGTAGTGTAATCCAGTAGACAACTGCAGTGTAGGGTGATTATGAAGGTAGAATGGAAGGAACTTGACCGGGAGCTGTCAGGTGATTGATTGGAGGTTTGTTGTAGACTTTGAGAGGGAAACTCTTGGCCACATCCTTCAATGGAGTTAGAAATACCTGTATTTTAACCTAGTACAGTTTGTGAGGATCATGTAGAATTATTTAAAAAAAAAAAAACAAAACAAAAAAACTATAACGTGAGGAAGGCAAACTGCTAAGGGTAGAAGATAGTATCTAATTTCTGACATCAGATCATTAAAATAGGTATGTCAGAATATGCAGTATGGTGCTGACTTGTATAATCAGAATACAAAAACAATGGCCACTAACTCATTTTCTTTTTATATATGAGGTGGGAGGGAGGCTTACTGACTTTGAAGCTTTGCAGTCTTGAAGGTGACACAAAGAAGAACCGAATCTGTGGTGGAAGGGTTATCATGCTAAGCAAAAGAAGTGGAGCAGTGATTTAACAGTGGCGTCATATATATTCCAAGGCATAAAGACAAAGACAATCAATCAAATGTGCATAACTAAAGTGTTGGGAGTTTGCATGAGTGTCTGTGTGCATCTCACATGAGTGTCAGTGGGCCTTGTGGATCATCCCACTGGGACTGTTCTATAGTACATCAGATTGTGATGAGTTCAACCCAGTCCCTTTTCTTTTTTCATATTTCGAGACAGGGTTTCTCTGTGGTTTTGGATCCTGTCCTGGAACTTGCTCTTGTAGACCAGGCTGGTCTTGAACTTGCAGAGATCTGCCTGTCTCTGCCTCCCAAGTGCTGGGATTAAAGGCATGCGCCGCCACCACCCGGCTTAACCTTTAATAGCATCTTCAAACCAAGAGTATCAAGCCTAGTGAGAGTTCTTAGCAATTTAGGTTTAAAGTCAATAGGAAAGAGGGGTATGTGCATATGGTAATATATGACCTAGTGATAATGAGATGCCTTAAGCGGATGAGATAAGTGCCACCGTGTCCACAACACCTATCAAGTACAGACTCCATATGAAGTATATAAGGCTCTTTTTCGGTTTCATTAAACCTTAACGTTAATCACCTATGGTAGATTTTTTTTTATCTCTCTGTGTGTTGAGGACAAGTCTTAGCTACAACATAGTCAAACAACAATGCATACCAGTTAGTAATTACCTATCAACAATGGCTTTGAATGTAAAAGTGTTTTATTCCCCTTAAGAGTGGTTCATTAGCTAAACAGACAAGATCCAAATATGTGACTCTGCACCTTAAAAGACTCACACAGACTGAACATTAAGACATGGCTAAGGTATTCTGCACAATTGGAAACACTGTAGACTCTTTTCTGCCTGCCTTTGGATTGATTTATTTTGTCAGATAATGAATAGCACCTCCTGGTTTCCTAGTTTTATTTGCTTGCAGTACCTTTTCCTTTCCCTGTATTGTAATGTTGTGCCTGTTTGTGATGTTGAGGTGCAGAGGCAAGAGATAGATGGATCCTATTTTTTTAATCTAATATGTTGGTCTGTGCTTTTTGATTAGGGAGCTGAGATCGAGATTGTAAATGTAAATGTTTAGAGTTGGTACAGAAAGGTATATATTAATGATACATTAATGCCTGTCATTTTTTTTTTTTTTTTTTAGATTTTGTAGTGTTTAGTGC